GCTGAACCACAATGAGCGTAGATAGAGAGAAGGGATCAAGAAGGCTGCTGATGTTGTTATTTAAGGTTTCCCCATTATGCTGTAAATGTATTTGTGCAGAAATAAAGATTGATGTAATTCGTATGTTTAGGAATGTACAGGATTATGTATTGATAAAGTTTGGAACTTTTTTTTTTTCTTACAACACAGTGAAGGTGAAACTTGAGAGAATGTGAAAACTGCCAGGAAGGATTTTAAATCCTCTACCATTAAATTAACGTTCAAAGTGGGAAACAAAGTAATTGTTTACACCGTCAATGTTAGGCTTCCTCTGAAGGCCATAGAGGTCCTTTTGAGCTTCAGATGAACCGAATGAGAATGTTTCATTGCAATACTTCAAAACTACAAGTTTTCATTCCCCATAAAATCCAAAACAGGTGGCAAAGTCAGGATACATTTCCAATGACCAAATATGTTATTTTTAATTTTGTATTAGGTTTTTTTTGTATATAAAATAATTTAGGCTTTTTAGTTTTACTTTTTTTTTCCTCGAAGGTTGCACTTCTATAGAAATGTTGTGCTAAATATTTCTATAAAAGTTGACATGATGTCACTTTGCACTATAGAAGTCCATGCTGTGCTGTGGTCCTGTGTAATCGAGCATTTCTTCAATGTAAAATTGTTACTGAATGTTGTTTGTTCACCACTACAGGAGAGACGTTGCCTGTCCAACTGCAGGTCAGCCTTTTCTTAAAAATGGGTGGAAAAGAGATCATTATGTTTTTGCACTCTTAATATGCCACTAACTAAAAATTCAAACCTACTTGTGTGGAAAAGAAATGTTCAGTTACATCCTGCGTCTGACACAGACTTGTAGTGCATGAATATGCAACACTGCACATGTCTGACACCACTGTAATGATAGCTGCCATTTTGTTTACTAATGCCAGTTATTGCTTCCTGTGAAATTGAGCTTTGTTGTCTTTAGCTGTTCAGTGTTCTACTGTGAATATTTCCCAAGTATTATTTCTGGTGAGCCCAAAAGTGCTGTCTCCTGTGCTATCACTAAGATCTATTTATTGAGTTGTTATTGCAACCACATTTAAACTGAAATAAACGTTAAAATATAGGCTGCATATATGATCATTGGTTGTGCTGCTATATTCAACTTTAATTCCCCACATTTATTTCCTTTCAAGTGTGATCTAATGTCAAAACTGTAATCATAATTGACTTTTTAATGAACGTTACTAGTGGCCCATTAGTGTTTTCTTGTTTCCCCATGTCAGGGTTTGTCAACTTGGAGTTGAGGGTTAGCATCAGAGTTTGTTAAACCGGTTTACTGGAACAGGCCCCAGTGAAAGAAGCAGGAAATAAGACCGTAATATACTGTAAACAAGTAACGGAACCACAACAGTGTCATATAGTGCTTCCCGTGTTCTTATTTGTTTGTTTTGTTTGCGAAATAGGGGAACAGTGACTCTCCTACTTCCTTTCTCCAGAGTTCAATGTGAGTGAACATGGACCTGGGGATAGTACTGTCCAGCAGGTCAGAGAGTAGGACGGATTCACCTCTCAGGAAGTAATTTGTGTTGGTATTATTGTTTTATAATACCGTACAACTGCAGGTGAAATGACAGAAGCAGTAGAGGAAGTGCTGTTTGACTGTAGTGCTGTTGTTAGCTTGCTAGCCCCTAATTAGGCTTGAGGTATTGGGTTCTGGAAAAGGGTGGGGTCAGATGAAGAATCATAAGACAAGAATGCTTAGGGTTAAATTAAGTAAATATTAGGTTATGTAAGGGGGTGGGGCGCAAAATTAACTTCCCTCATAATCTACTCCCAAGTTTTAGGAACTAACGCTAACCGTAATGTTTACAACCCTAGTCATTTATTTCCTCACAGCTATTTTTAAGCTACTGACAACGATCTGCTTTTTGTGACTGCCTTCTGTTTTTACCTGCCATCGACCGATTTCGTCTCCTGTTTCCTCTTATCTTTGGCTTCCGCCTTATTTCTGCGTCTCTCGAGCTCCCGGTCCTGAGTGACAGTATCGGAAACATGGCGATAAACAAATCACACTCAGGTGAAGACGTCGATAAAAAGTGTATTTTCTGTTTGATCGCCAACGATCAAGATGAAGAAGCGGAAATTCTAAAAAAGGTAAGATCCCTTTAAACGAAGACTGGGGGGAACTGGGGTGTATTTTAGCCAAATCTGAGTTTATTCAAAGAAATTAGTTTTCTATTCCCGAAACAGTTTTTTTTTACATTATCTTTAGTAACATTACGTCATTTCAATGTGCCTTAGAGACAGTGACAAGAACATTAACATTTAAAACGGTAAGCATTAAAAATTCAGAATCAAATAAGACAAACCTAAAACATTGTTAAAAATCAAAATAAAATCAAACATAGTATCCATAAAATGAAAATGAAACAAAGATAAAAGAAGATCAGTGGTGGTTGAAGTACTCAGAGTAAAAGTAGTAAATGTTAAGTAAAAGTAAAACAACCTTATATGTATATTCTGAATTACTGCTGCTAGTTTATGAATTTTCAACCGAGGATCAATAGTTTTATGATATACCAGTTACCTCCACCTAAACACACTGAATATGTGTTACAACAGTGCTGTGTTTGCTGACCTATGGGTTAACATGTGTTTTATCTTTTGTTCTGATATTTCCGTTCGATCTCACAGGATGAGGAGCTGGTGTGTTTCAAAGACATTGAGCCTGCTGCTCCTCATCACTACCTGGTTGTACCCAGAAAGCACATAACCAGCTGCCTCTCATTGCACAGGGGACACACTGGCCTCGGTCGGTGATGATACAAATACAGCAGGCACCAGTGAACCCCTATGTTGTTACTAACAACACTACTTCATGTAGTAATAATACTGCTGCCAATGTTAATTAATTCTGCCATTAGTACAATATTACTGTTGCTTCTACTAATATTATTCACTGAACTCCTACAACCTACAGCACGTATTTTGGTTTTCCTTTTTCATTTGTTTCAGTGTAATACAGTGCTCTGTCAGCTACCTCATGCTGCCTATATGCTCTATGTGCACAAATTTTATTTTGTCTTATTATCTGGCCTTTGCCGAAAAATAACTGAGACATGTATCCAACAGTGGAAAGGATGGCTGAAATGGGGAAAGCTGTACTACGTGACCAAGGAATCACTGATATGAAAGACATACAGTAGGTGGAGACAAAGTTATTTTCTCAAATGTCAAACATTTGGGTCAACTAATTAACAATTATAATTGTTTGAAGAGTAGAACACACATTTAAACTATTGTAAACTATAAGGCTGCAGCATAAAATGGAGTGGGGGGTAGGGGTGGGGATTGAATTACACACTCACTTTGTCAAAAATCAATGTGTTTCCTGAAAGATATTACCCAGTTCTTTTACCCAGGAACTCAGAGAGACAAAGCGGACCACTTGGATATATAAAAAATATAACCGTGCTGGTTTATTCAAAGGATCACAGGCAAAATTAACATTACACGTCCAGGCATCTCCCACCTCCAGTCCTGCGCGCAGGCAGACGGAGATCAAAAAAGACTCTGAACCCAAGATCTCTATACATTTTATCTGGTTTGGGCTAGCCCATTCTACCCAGTAACGTCAAATCGTGACATCACCTGATATGCCAGCTTCACAGCTGGCCGTAGCAGTAGTCAAAACATGGAGAGAATCAATGTGTGTGTGAGTGTTGATCATGTGGTGTGTAGCTAAAAGCATACAGGACATTCAGGGACATGATTCAGGGACCGAACAGTAAGCCTCGGAAGATATTATGATTAAGATTACGGCTGAACATATCATGCTAATAACAATATTCATCCTGCCTGCAGACTCTTCAATCTAGTTGACCTCGGCCTAGATGCAGCCTGCAGAACTCATGACAATGAACTGAGCATTTAACAGCCTGAGCATAGACATCCTGGCTACACTTAAACATTCCTATACAACAAGTATCTAATCAATATCTAACTGACTAAGAAATTACCTAACATTCCTCTTTTGGACCTTCTGAAACTGCACTCTGACTTGCAGTGTCAAAGCTTAAAGCACTGATGTGTTTTCCTCCGCAGGCTGGGCTTCCACCAAGCTCCCTACATTTCAGTAGAGCATCTCCACCTCCACGTGCTCGCCCCCACCACAAAAATCATATGGGACCAGAGGAATATGTTCAAACCAGCTTTTGTTACTGTGAGTGTTGAGGAAGACAGACTCCCTCTGTTCTTTATTTCACTGATTTTCTTTAATCAGTTTTCTTATGAAGGTCATTGCAGTATTGTACATTACACACTTACTGTACTTGTTCTTTTCTTGTTTTCATAAGTTTCTGCAGATAAAACCATGCAAATGTCTAGACATAAGCTATAAATAGATGCCAAAACAGATAAATTAACTTCCCTGTGCATTTTCATTTGCTCTCGACAGTCTCTTTGCCCTGTTTAAAATAATGTACTTGTCTTTGCAGGAAGAATGTTTACGGAAACATCTAAAGGACAAAGCTCCACCGCTCAAGTATTGTTTGACAGACTGTTTTTCATGTCTGCGAGCTACCAGCTCCCAAGGTGGACTTTCTGAAAAGCAAACATCTCAGAGGCGTATCTGATCCAAAATCAGCCACAGAACAAGCGTGTTTTTAAAAGAATGCTCAAATTCTGCAAGGTGGGACACAACAGGAATAACAACATAGACTGACAAGGATATTACAGAACATTATCTGAAAGCAGATAAATTCATTAGTTTTGAAAGGAAAGCCATAGCTCTGAGATGTCACTGTAGACAAGTGACTATGCACATTTGAGTCAAACTGGTTTACACTAGTAGTATATATATATATATTTAAACAGTGTGGCTGTGTTTACATGCAAACAGTATGCACTTGAAAAACAGTTTTATCTATTGTATGTTCTAGATTTTGTTGTATCTACTGTGTTCTAGACTTTGGTGTGTGTAAAGGTAAAAAGACTCAAATGAATTATATGTGAATAGATTATTTTATGGTTAGAATATTAAGAGTATAATGGATCGACTCCATTAAATGTTATGATATTATGTGCGATCAGTTTTTAAGATATACTGCATCAAAAAAATGTATTTACTTAAAGTTTTTGTGACATTGGGGCTTTATTATATAAGGGAAGCATGCAAACCAATAACCAATAACCAAAATAATCCAGTGACTGCTGATTTTCATTTATTAAAGCATACACTAAGATACAGTACATTGGTAATGAACATATGAAAAAAATACAAACAGAAGAAGGGGGGGAGGGGATATCTTCTTCTGTTCCCCGGCAGAGCAGTTCAGCTCTGTTCTGAATGGTCCTTCCTAGAAGGAAGGTGGTGTATTTGTAGGTGGCTACAGGTGAAACCCAGTTCCCTTATTTTATCGTCCCTCGAGCGAGGAGGCTGTCTGGAGGAGCTATAACCCAGGATACACGAGTGTATTCTTTTTGAAAATCTGTTTGTGATTGGACGCTTTACATTACAGCTCCGAGGAAAGGACGTCTCATAAGAGTTAAAATATGTATCCTCGTTCCTCTTAAATTCGTTGGGAGTTTAGTGCAAAGTGTGGATCTTTTGTCTGCTTTTTGCCTTTATTTGACAGAAATACAATTTATGCAACATAAACAAAATTGCGTTTTTCCTACAATAGGCTACTTCCCGCCTTTCCTGTTTGCTGTGTGTCAGTTATTTAGTGATCATTTTAAACACGTTAGGTAATTTCTTAGTCAGATAGATATTTGTTAGACATCTGTTGTATTAGCAAATGTTTAGTTGAGACAGGCTGTCTATGCTCAGGCTGGTAAATGCTTAGTTCATTGTCATGAGTGCTGCAGGCTGCATCTAGGCCAAGGTCAACTAGATGGCAGAGTCTGCAGACAGGATGAATATTGCTAGTAGCATGCTATGCTCAGCCGTAATCTTAGTTATAATATCTTCCGAGGCTTACTGTTCGGACATGTCCCTGAATGTCCTGTATGTTTTTAGATACACGCCATTAATCAACAGCCACACACTTTAATTTTCTCCATGTTTTGACTACTGCTCTGGTCAGCTGCCAAGCTGGCATATCAGGTGACGTCACGGTTTGACGTTGCCTGTGTAGGATGGGGCTAGCCCAACCAAGTGATTAAATTGTATAGGCTATTAGGTTCGGGGCTTTTTCATCTTCCGGGCTGCCTGTGCGCAGTACTGGAGGTGGAAGATGCCTGGACGTGTGATGTTAATTTTGCCTGTGATCCTTTGAATAAACCAGCACGGTTATATTTTTTAGAAATCCAAATGGTCTGCGTCGTCTCTCAGAGTTCCTGGTTGAAAGAACTGGGTAATATCTTTCACACACGTTAAGAATGTAGGCTACCAAGTATGTATAAATATCAACTGAAATAATAAAGGTAATAAAAGTAGTGTAGACACAAAATCGCTCCACGATAAAAAAAAAAAAAAGAAGTTTCAGGAGCAGGCCTAAGGTCAAGATCTCTTGTCAACTTACGTTGTTCTTTAGTGAGTAATGCCTAGTATTGAATGAACCGCATTAGGAAGCCAGCAGTGTTCGATTGTCTCTGTCTCGGCTAATTGTCCTGGCTCCTGGCAGGCCCAGCCCAGGCATTATCGTCAGTATTCAGACCATATGCATGTTATGATTCACACAACCTCACAGCGGCGAGCCAATATTATACCAAAAACATAATTTTAGTATCACTAATGGGGACTCCGGACGATTTAGGAAACGAAGACTGTCTTTTCTGCCGCATAGTAAACAACCAGACTGACACAGAAATCCTGCTGAGTGTAAGTAGACTCCTGTGAATCTGTGAGTTTCATTGAAAAAGTTCACTCGTCATATATAGGAACCTTTTAACAATCTCTCTTTCGGCATAGGATGATGAGCTGGTTTGTTTTCGTGATACGAAGCCTGGCGCCACACATCACTACCTCGTTGTGTCCAGAACTCACATTAACAACTGTAAAACCCTCCAAGCAGACCGCATCCCTCTGGGTGAGCGAGTCCCTGGACTTAAACCGGGAATTTGGGTTGTTCTTAATTTCCTCAGTGCTCGGACTTCATGTTAGTCTTGTAGTACGAGTTTGTACTTAAGATTGCGTAAATGACAATGAATGCCTGGATTTACTGACCCTCAATATGTTTGTATAAAAAAAATGGGTTTTTCTGATTGATACCTGCTAACAGAACCAGAATGTGACCTTAGTTTTGATAATGACACCAAAGACACATTCACTGACTGTGAAGACTTTGGTATTGGAGCTTCCTCCCCGAGGTCAACATTTTGCACAAAACAATATGAGTAAACTCCCCTGAAGAACAGGAATAACCTGAACTCTTAAGCACTCTCAACACGGATATAAACGTTATACACACACTGAAAGTCATTAATAATTCAGTATCACTGAATATTTGTGTGCTGAGTTCAGTGCAACATTTTAAAATTTCTGTTGAACACCAAAGGTGTACCTAAGAGAGATTGTCCCTTTGGATTTGGAAACAGATATTTTGGTAATTTAACAGTAAAGGTGCTACTGTGTGTTTTTAGGCTGTATGTTGGTGTTATTTTTTATTTTTATAGTGGAGCGGATGGAAGAAATGGGAAGGAGAATACTGAAGAAAAACAAAGTCAGTGACTTAAATGATGTCAGGTAAATCTCTCCATAGTTGTGACTAATGCCATTTTAAGTACGTTGGATTGGATCAACTTCAAAATAACTGGTCTTTAGTCCTTTTGCTTTTAATAATGTAAGTTCAAACATTTGTTTATTTGTTGCCAATCTCATGTTGAACCTGTGCAGGATGGGTTTCCATGTACCTCCATTCTCGTCCGTTCCACACCTCCACCTCCATGCTCTGGCTCCAGCCACTACAATGAACTCTAGATCGCAGCTGCGCTACGGGCCACAGTCGTGCTGGTTCATCCCAGTGAGTCCCACAGTGACCTGTCTTTTATCATCTAAGTTCTCTTCTAAATAACATTTAAAGTATATAGCGAGTCTTTAATATAATGCAATTACAAAAAGTTCATCTTTCAGATTTGAATGTACTGTATATGAATGAGTTAACTGCATTTTAAACATTATTCTAAAATAATTCAGATTTTTATTTTTTATTTCCCAAAATAATTTAGATTTTTATTTTTTATTTCCCAATTGTGATGTTTATTCGTGTTATATCTTGAACATGCTTTAAAACCATGGAAAAAAGTAAAGAGTGATCAGCAATAATCAATAAATGAGTAAATGAGTAATAAAATTATTATAGTTAACCTCTATACATTCTAATAATTATTCTGGTGACATACCCCAGCCTCCTTCTAGCAATGGTTTAAATGTGCCAGGATCAGAAATGATCTTCCCGTGTAATGAGTATGTTGTTTATGCTTATGTGTAAATGTGATTTATAAGCACATTTAATCACTATTACTCTGAACTATAATCTTGTGAACACTTTATGAGCTCCTTGTTCTGCCCTGTTGCAGGTAGACAAAGTGCTTTCTCAGTTGAAGACTCGTGGCAAAGTCAAATGAAGTGCATCAAAATATTATAAGGTGCAACAGTCTTGTTTGATGTTGACAAGTTATTTACACTATTGTCATTCAACTTCACTCTGCAAGTTTAAATCAGTTTTTCATCCACCTTGACATTTATTATGTTATAATGATTCCTCCATGCTGCTTGCTGATTGTGAAGAAAAGTGGAAAAAGGCACTTTTATTTTTATAACAGGAAATATTAGTCTTATCAAATGACAATAAGTTAATTAATTACAATAAGTTAAAAGAATTACAATTAATTGTAATTCTTTTTTTATCATTTACTGAATTGTTATTCTATATTTACCAAGAAGGACAAGCATATTTTGCACATTCATGCAAAAACCTCACAAATCTGTTTACCTGCAGAAATGGTTTTTGTTTATATAGTTACTTTGTTTTCATGCATGAGGTCAAAGGTCAAAGTGTTTATTTGTCATATGCACAGTTAGGAAACGTGTTTCCCTGTACAATGAAATTCTGAATCCAGCCGTAACAGCAATAGTTACCTAAATCACAACACACCAAAATAAAGAAATGTATAAAAGTGTAAGTCTAAAATACAAAAAAAGTTTAAAAACCAGCTGAAGTGTGTGCAGCTCTGCACAATACCCCTTCAGTATTTCTGTTTACTTTAATAATCACAGGGGAAAATAGGTCCTAATGTTTGTTTCTCTGCCAGCACCCACACCAATGTTTGAACACTGTTTAGAGAAAACATAGAATTCATTATGTGAAAACAAAAACCCCTAATGGGCCTGAATACAGCAAACAATGATACAAGGGATCCTCAAATTAAATGATTTCTGTTACTGCTCAATATTTCATTTTCACTTTTGAGATCATGTTAATTGGCTGCATGTGCCAGTGGGGGCACTGATATCTCAAGGGTTTGTTGGCAAGTTTTTGTTTCATCTTCAAAATTTGGCCAAATCTGTGATTTTCCACTGTTCATTAAGATGTGAATAAGAGAGAGAGTAATGCTTCCCAGAGGATGAATCCTACTGACTTTAGTGATACCAATAAATTTTCATCTAGTGCCACAGTGAGGTCAAAATATTTGTCCAGTACTTTGGTTTATGGTGAAATTCCTGTAGTATTCACATCAGCCTTAGCTTTTCTTTAATTTTGTGCTAATTAGCAAATGTTAATGTTTACTAAGATGGTGAACATGTTAAACACTATGCACTTGAACTAAACATCAGCAGTTTGGAATGCTCATTGTGAGCATGCCCGACTGCTGACATGAGCATTTAGCTCAAAGCAGAACGGTGCCCAAGTACAGAGGCAGGACTCAGCCGCTGGATCTGACTGTAGTCTGTATACTCCATCTGTATGAGAATTAAGCTTTGTTGTAACCTCTGCTATTGAAAAAAGGTCTAGAGATTTACTAAACCATGCTCCTTCATACTGTACATACATTAGTTTCCATTGCATTAATATACATACTCCTGTTAATATATATTAATTCAAACAGTTTGGTATATATTTCTGTTAAGAACAACATCTTATTGCCTTTTTTTTTAAATAAAATGCTGGATTACTATTCAACAATGACAGCAATTAATAGTGTCTCGATGTGCTTTACTGATCACACTATTCAATACAAGGTCAGTTCTTCCTGTCAGCCACTAGATGTCACTAGTTTGACTATAAGGCTACTTGCAGTTTGACCAGACCTATGTTTTTGTCTGCCCATTACCCCCAAAGTCATTTCCTGACATTTTGCTGTTTTGTTCATAGTGAAATTCGTTTAGGCTCACTGTTGTTTTCGTAATGATCTTTTTGTCACCCACCGGTTTCAAGCAAAATATATAACTGCAAAAGAAATAAAGTCATTGCATAAACGCTTGCTGTGTGTCTGATAATGGATCCAGTGCTCATCTACAATGCATCAGCAAGACCAGATTCGAACACCACGAATTGCTGAACTGTTTTAATATAATTCATTATGATTTAATCACGAATAAATTGTGTCAGAAATCAACTGCAAACCAGACACGCAGACCTAGCGCAGACTGGATGTTTGACGTCACGTTCAACGTTGTGGCGTCACTCTGGCTGGCACGCTTGTGGCCCCGCCCCTCCCACCGTCAACAACTGGATTCCAGCTATTTGTATTTTCGACAGCTAGTATCGGTAGCCAGCAAACGATAATTTGCTGCGTTTGTTTAAAAGTAATGAATTAAAACGGAGTAAGCCGATTTGGATGAACATATATTGATTTTTGTTTGCTTAAAACACGTTTTATCAATAGCTTGTTCCGATGTACAGCCAATGTAAGCTAAAGGACCTTCGAGAGCGGAGAGATAGCCTTGCATACCGTCATTTAGCCTCCTCGGAAACCAGCTAACACCTTACTAGAGATAACGCTAGCTTGCTAGTTGACAGCTGAGTCGGTTAGCTACGTGTCTTTTAACGTAGCTAAGATTTACTCGCCGAAACAATGAATCGTCTCTGACACCGGTGAGTACAATGGTGAGCATTACTGAGTTGTGTCAGGTCATTGCGTGCTATTTGTTTTTGATATGAGTTGCTTTGCGACCAAACGTTGACTGGCTAACCATCGGCTTGTTTATAGCAGCTGCTGCACACAGCCACGCCTGGACCATTTAAATTTACGTTTACGGCTGTTAGCTTTAGGTGGTATTTTTTGCACACACGTCAAAATATTACAGCGTTCAATTTCATAGTGCTTAAAAGAATTCCACTGTTTTCGGTTTACAGAGAGGACTGAGGCCCAGTTGGTTGTCACAAGGGAGTAATCAGAACCCATAACTAGCAAGGTGGGTCGTGGCTGACTAAGGTGGTGTCATTGAAGATAAGGGAGGCGAGCTTTAAGTCAACTTACCGATGTACCCCCGGCATTGACCACAGCTGCCAATATGATGCCGGTAAGTGCACATAATCCCTGTTCTCCTTGCATAAAAACTGTCCCATTTATTCTTTCAAAATCTCAGACATCACAACTATGTATTGGACTGCCAGCGTCTGTACAAAATCAAACCAGTGTTCGGGCGCACTTTTTAATCGTTGGCATTTTATCCAAATATGATTGTCATGTGGTTCCTCAGCCTGAAATGATAAAAGAACCAGGTGTACACAAAAGGGCACAGTTTGATTCTTTGACAATCCATGTACATACAAGTTGCAAGTTCAAGCAAAACTGATATGTCCATTTACCTCTGCACCTCTAAGCTAATCTACAAGTGAGATTAGTTCATAGAAATGAAATCCTTCACTTTATCTACTACAGCTATCTGTGCAGTATCTCTGCAATGTGGGACTATAGCTGCAAGACTTAGATCTTTAAATGTTGATTGTTACAGTGACTGAAACATGGGGAAGGAGAAACAGGGCTTGTCATAACTTGATGAACATCTGAAGTCCATATGCTTTTAGTACAAGGATGTGCTCCTTACAAGACTGAACATGCAGTATATGCTATGTGCAATACTGAACAATTATATAGTTGCAGTATATACTTATACATCACACTCTCTACTTCCTCTGTAATAACAATGAATTAGTGAATAATTCAGAAACAATATGAATGCTATATTTAAAGCAGTAGGTATAGTAGACTTTGTTCATTCTGCTGTCCCTTGTGTTAATGTTCAAGGCGCTCTGTGTTGTAAATAATACAATACCTGAATGGAGCAGCGCTTTGTCGGGACCTCTTTTTTTGTAGTGTTTAGTCCTGAGAATGTAGCAGTGGATTGTGGGGAAACTGATTGCAACCAGTCTGGCCTTCAGGGAGGAAATATGAACTCAGATGCAGGATAGGTTTACAGTACGTTGTAATCATAAATGGAGGTGATTCAGTCTTAGCCAGTTATCTTTCCAAATGATTGTGCACTGGTTGAAAGTACAGTGTCACGCAAACATTTAGTTTAAGTCACTAAAATAGCCTCACAAGCACAATTTCAAACTGGCTTGTAAGTTTTTTATTCTTTCAAGCATGCAGAACAAATGACATAAACACACACATAATTACACAAATCCAACCAATGCTAATCCAGAATCAGTTTGCTTATACCTAGTACATGCTTGAATGGAGTAGGAAGAAGTCAGACTTATCCAGTTCCACCCCACTGCTTGTAAGTTTTCAGGAGTACGAAGTTATCCGGTATTTTCTGCTGCTGTCGATTTCACAGGCTTGAGTGCAACATTAGCCTTGGTGGACATTTGCACCCTCTGGCACCAACAGGCTGTCAGAGTCAAGGAGCCATTCGAGCACAGAGGCAGCCCGATTTCTGTTCTCGCGTGACTCTGGCAGCCAATGAGACCTCAGCAGATCTAGGTCTGTGTGGCCGCGTCGGCTGATGCTCTGTTGTTAAGGGGAACTTCTGAGCTGAGTAGATTTGTCAAGCGGCATTAATCTCACACACTGGAGCCAGGCAGAGCGTGACCTACTGGAAAAGTAAACATTACATCTTTATTGTCATTTACCCGGTTTTGGAGGGATGCTGGCTTCAAATGGCATCAGTCAAGTCATCACAGTTATAAGTACTTGTTATTAAAAAATAAAATGTCATAAATTTGATAGATGTGATGATTACTGTTAAGACCTTTCCTCAAACTCACTAAACAAGCAAAAAGAGTCAGTTATTGATATATTTTTATCAACTCGCACCTGTTTAAACCTCCTGGATCTTTTTTTTTATTGGTCGAATATGTATACGTTATTAATTACAGTAGACTTCTTAATGCCCTCCTCTAATGCAAATTACCAGACTTTCAGTCAGAGGGGACACATGCTTTTTTAAAACAACCTATTAAATCTTGTAGTGATCATTTTCTTATAAAAATGTTAAATACCAATAGAATTAATAGCGACATATAACCTCTTCTAGAATTTGTCTGTAATAGTAAAACTACTGTAGATATAGATTGGGCTGTCTAGGTCGGTAGCTGCACAAGTCCCTCATATTTCTGGCCTTTTTGAAATGTCAGCTTTGGAACAAGAACGTCTTGTGTGCACTGGCGATTAAATGCTTAGCTAAAAGAAAAAGATGTACTTTTCTAATTCAGCTTTCAGAAGCGCTAGCTGGTTGGAGGGTACAATCTGTATCACCATCATTTGTCACATCGTGACATCATCTTAGCCAGATGAGCAGTGTTTGACATATTTGGGCTGCAAGAAATTTCTAGATTAAATAGTATTAGTCAAGGATGTCAAAGGCAGCCTGTTCATGTCCTGGTGAATTGACAGCCTTGGATTAGATGCGATTAAGATATATTTTTGTATTTGCGTCTGACCAGATGATTAAGCAAAGTGATTGTTTACTTCTCACAGATGGATGGGCATGAGTTTGGTTAGAAATATTTTACTGTTAAATAAATCCTAGTTTGTGTTCAATATGTGGAAACTGAGAAAGTCTGTATATCATAAAACAAGTTTTGATTTAGAGTTTGTGCTGTCAGGGAGCACTGTTGTGCTGGAGCTGTCTTCGTCATTGCTCCTGTGTGAGTAAATGAGTGACAGGATTGGTGAGAAGAAATGGCTGTTTGAATCATCCTGCTAGAGATCAGGGCAGCCAAGCATCAGTCTGTAGCAGGCACCTCTCAGATGTTAAATGATAAATGTCGCTATCTCCAGATTACGCCCACACTTACATCAGGCAAGAGAGACGCTGTGTGTGTCCCAGTCGATCGTCCCGCTTCCTCTCTCTTGCCATTTGTTTCTAGCTCTCTCTCTCTCTCTCTCCCTCCCTGCCTGAAATACACATACAGCAAGTGTTTTTTCCTCCCAAGTCCCCTCTGCAGCACTTTTCTAATGCACGCACTGCTGTCGGCATCAGAGGTCTGCATGGGATGGCATAACAATTAAGTCTCGTGACTGCAAAACCGGCAGCACTATGATGAAGAGGTTTGTGACTGTAGTGCTGCGTGGCCTTATTAGCCTCTCCAAAGAGAACCCCATTTGGGCAAAGGAGCACCACCAGCTACCAAAGAAAGAGCTCAGGAGGAAGCGGAGGGCGGTCAGTAGAGCCAAGAACATGGGCAGATACAGCTTAGTGAGGGCGGTTTGTATTTCTCTAATGGTCAGTGAGCTGGGTCACTGGAGTTTCTGGTTGTTTTTTTTGTTGTTTTATTACATGGTCAGTGTGTGAATGTACACTCTTATGATTTGGTAGTTTCTGCTGATGTGGAGGTATATTTGATTGTATTCTGCACTGGCCCCGTGTGGCCATTTTCAATTAGTCACAAATTTGATCCAATTCTTGCCTGATTGGTTGATAGTTTGTGCTGATTGATCTGTCCAGTATGTATAACTGTGTTACTATAGTAAGAGAAAGTAAATGTGCTCCTTATGGTAGACTAATTATTGTTTTATATTTTGTTGCTACAGTGCAGTATTTTTCTTACATATTAAGCACTGTTAGAAAACACAAATATAAATAAGACTGGACAGTATATCCTTACACTGATTTCATCTAACCTATAATATACACTTGAACTTGTATTCAAAGTGATGATGTTGCTGGCCTCGTTTAGCTGTTTTGTGTTCACATCTTTTTTCCTGTACTATACTTGTATCTTGTTTTGTAGCTGGTAGCACTCCAATATCCCATAGGGATTAATGAAGTAATTACGTATCAGTTAAATATGGACATAACAGCATTATTAATGTACGTGTATGTACGTTTTCTGATTGTTAATGTTGACTGTTAATGATCTGGCAGGTAGCTAATGACGTTTGTTACAGGTCTGCGTGGACGTTGACAGATCCAGCACGAGCATGGCTGGTATGGATGAGTGTCTGTTGGATTTGTAAAGGAAAAGCCTAAAAAAAAAAAAGACATTTGGCCATGCCTCGACTCCAGTACTATTCCATTAATATAGGAGCTTTTTGGATCATAATCATCTGAGTGATGACACATAGGCTTTCAAGCACAAGTGGTCGTATTATTTCAGTTCAGCTTTTCCAGAAAATGTCAGTGAATCACAACGGTCGCATCACTGCAAATGCCTCAGAGAAACTACTGGAGCAATAATCTGTAATTAGCTCAGTGACTAAAACTAGATTATATATGACAGTGGCATACACTAACAATTACTGTAACACTGCAGATGTACCGGAGGCCACACAAAGTTATGTACCTCACAGCTTTGAGTAGTGCCAGTAGATTGTAGATGTGTAATTTTATGGATCTTATACGTATTTTTATTGGTTTACATTAAGCAGTAGGTTGATTTAACAGCATCACTGTGTCTGAAAAAGGAACAAAAACAAAAATAGTTGAGACTGTGAGCCACATGTAGACAGTGTTGTAGTTGCTCTTTTAGACAATGAGCGCAGGATAACAGAGCCCCTTGAGAGAGTAAGTAATGTTTCATTTTAGTCTTCGTCACTCGATTTTTATTGTTATACTTGAATTGTTTCTTGGTTCAAAGTCTTGTTCGATGAGTGAAGAATTCAGATTACCCATTTCTGCTGTTTACTGACAACTTACTGTATCTGAACTCACATTCAACTCAGACTTTTCAAACAGCATTTTTTTCCATCTAAAAATCTTTGCATTGCTTTAGATATTTTCTCCATTTTGGTTTTCGGCTCTTTATTCCGTGAACTCCAAACAGTCCTGTTTTTCTGGAGTGACACTAAAAATGGGTCCTGTCACATGAAACAGGAAGACACACCTCAGCCACCTAGGGTGCTTTGTGCCGCAGAAAACAATGAGATTCCGCCTGCCACTGCAGAAGGAAAAATCTGTCATGTAGATGTGCTATAACAATGAACAAAATAGAACTTACTTATTTTAATCCATTTAGTCTGTTCTCACCTGCCACAAACCAAAGAGCAAAAATAAAGGGCCAACTCTGTTGGTCAAAAAATAGTAGGGGGTAAATATTGTCACATTTGTTAAACTGAATATCTTGCTTATGGCATAACTTTGATTGTTATCAAAGGAAATCGTTCTAATCAGTGTTTTGATTAATCTCAGAAACGGTTGTAGTGCTCATAGAACATGTTGGCAAATTATTTTTCTATTTTGTCATAAAATTTAAAACCTAGATTCAGACCTGAACTTTGTCTCCATAAAAATGTTCACCCATTTTTTGGCACTTTTATTTTTATTTTTTGTACTTTCTTCCAGATTTCCTCCATTATGAGTAACACTGGCTATGTCTGGGGCTTTTGTGTTTCTGTGTGTGTGTATTACTTTGAAATTACCACAGATGATCTGCCGTCCAGATAGATGATATGAACATAGAAAGTATTTTTGGATAAAGAAAATATATAATAAATAATACATCCAGTAAATGATATACATTACAAGTGACCTCTGTCCAATTTCATGTCTTAAAATTGCTAAACACCACTGAACCACCCCCCACCCCCAAGATTATTCAGGTGACAGTGATACAGTAGATATGTTTTTTTCTGCATTTGAGAAGCTACAGTATGAGACTTATGAAATCTGTCATGTTCTAACACTGTGTTGACCACCAACTAGTGGTCACAATCGCAATATTGGTTAAAATATATATATTTTTTAAAGGCTATATATTTCTCCAGCTTCCCCCTCTCTGTCAGTCAGCTGGTTCGTTGTGCATTCAGTGCCATATGCACAAATCCAAAGGGCAGATGCACATTGAAGCCACATTGACTCATCATGTGTTGGTTAAAATTCTGATAGATATTCATAAAATTACAGCCATGATCAAGATAAACACACAACAGAAGCCTTTTGTTTCAGCTCTTTGTCTATATCAAGCACAGACAGTTAAGACATTAAAGACTGTTAAAGTTTTGGAGGAATGTCTGTTAATCAGGCTGCCTGGCTAAGGATGTTTGGACTGGTGGTGTTGGACAAAGGAGCACTTGAAGCTTTCTGAACCTTGTACAGTGCCTTGCGAAAGTATTCGGCCCCCTTGAACTTTGCGACCTTTTGCCACATTTCAGGCTTCAAACATAAAGATATAAAACTGTAATTTTTTGCGAAGAATCAACAACAAGTGGGACACAATCATGAAGTGGAACGAAATTTATTGGATATGTCAAACTTTTTTAACAAATAAAAAACTGAAAAATTGGGCGTGCAAAATTATTCAGCCCCCTTAAGTTAATACTTTGTAGCGCCACCTTTTGCTGCGATTACAGCTGTAAGTCACTTGGGGTATGTCTCTATCAGTTTTGCACATCGAGAGACGGAAATTTTTGCCCATTCCTCCTTGCAAAACAGCTCGAGCTCAGTGAGGTTGGATAGAGAGCGTTTGTGAACAGCAGTTTTCAGTTCTTTCCACAGATTCTCGACTGGATTCAGGTCTGGACTTTGACTTGGCCATTCTAACACCTGGATATGTTTATTTGTGAACCATTCCATTGTAGATTTTGCTTTATGTTTTGGATCATTGTCTTGTTGGAAGACAAATCTCCGTCCCAGTCTCAGGTCTGTTGCAGACTCCATCAGGTTTCCTTCCAAAATGGTCCTGTATTTGGCTCCATCCATCTTCCCATCAATTCTAACCATCTTCCCTGTCCCTGCTGAAGAAAAGCAGGCCCAAACCATGATGCTGCCACCACCATGTTTGACAATGGGGATGGTGTGTTCAGGGTGATGAGCTGTGTTGCTTGTACGCCAAACATAACGTTTTGCATTGTTGCCAAAAAGTTCGATTTTGGTTTCATCTGACCAGAGCACCTTCTTCCACATGTTTGGTGTGTCTCCCAGGTGGCTTGTGGCAAACTTTAAACAACACTTTTTATGGATATCTTTAAGAAATGGCTTTCTTCTTGCCACTCTTCCATAAAGGCCAGATTTGTGCAGTATACGACTGATTGTTGTCCTATGGACAGAGTCTCCCACCTCAGCTGTAGATCTCTGCAGTTCATCCAGAGTGATCATGGGCCTCTTGGCTGCATCTCTGATCAGCAAGTCAAAGTCCAGACCTGAATCCAATCGAGAATCTGTGGAAAGAACTGACAACTGCTGTTCACAAACGCTCTCCATCCAATCTCACTGAGCTCGAGCTGTTTTGCAAGGAGGCATGGGCAAAAATTTCAGTCTCTCGATGTGCAAAACTGATAGAGACATACCCCAAGCGACTTACAGCTGTAATCGCAGCAAAAGGTGGCGCTACCAAGTATTAACTTAAGGGGGCTGAATAATTTTGCACGCCCAATTTTTCAGTTTTTTTATTTGTTAAAAAAGTTTGAAATATCCAATAAATTTCGTTCCACTTCATGATTGTGTCCCACTTGTTGTTGATTCTTCACAAAAAATTACAGTTTTATATCTTTATGTTTGAAGCCTGAAATGTGGCAAAAGGTCGCAAAGTTCAAGGGGGCCAAATACTTTCGCAAGGCACTGTAGAATGAATTTCACATTAGTCGTGATTTTATACTCTTTATAGTACCTCTAGACCTTTTCCCTGTAGCCCTTTAGCAGCTTTCAACTAAGAGGGTGTATTTGGGATAATACTTGGAATAAATGCAGGTTCCTTATAATTCCACAAAGTCACAGATCCTGAAGGTTATTTGTTGAGAGCTAAGAAGGGACTGTGGGGTCTTTCACTGCTGTGAGTGCAGACAGAAGCGTGTATCGGCTTGTATTGCTGTCTGACCTCACTGTGTGTGATCAACACGATGGCAGGCCCTAATCATAGCAAACAGAAATGTGGCAGGCACAGGCATGAGTACACCGCAGGCTGAAAATGTCACATCAGCACACTGACATTTGTACAACACAAGACTGGGTTAAGCTTTGTTTTTGAGTAATAGCATATATTCTCATCTCTTAGACATTCTATATATCTTTATATTTTTATGTGATGCTTTGAGACATCTTTGTTTCTGTATGATTTTCCACATTTTTTGCTTTAACAGCTTTTATTTATTTAAATCTTTCCTGTTCCAATGTTACGTCAGTCTTTTATTTAATTATTTATTGTTTGTTTTTGCTATATTTTATTCAGTGTCAGTGGGATTATTAAAGCTTCATCTTTCTGTTCCTCTCTCAGATGATACTGACGGTGTACCTCAGTGATGGGGAACAGGCTGTGACGGAGGTGCCCATCACCCCTGAGACGACATGCCGCGATGTCGTCGAGTTCTGCAAAGAGCCCGGAGAGAGCGGCTGCCATCTGGCTGAAGTCTGGAGAGGCAACGGTAAGAACTTGTTAAATGCTTGTAAGTGCACAAACCTGCCCAAAATGCAAAACAATTATTGCTGCTTATCTTCTGAGAAGCTGCATTCAATTGCTCTGTCATGTTAAAGATAAAGAACAGTAGGTGTCATAAGTAATGCATGAACGTGAAGTCATCTGACTGCATTATCACCGAGCTCGACACTTCACTTGCACTGACAAGTTTAATTTTACAAAGCAGTAGCCCGTAGCTTTTTTCTTTAATGTGAAAACAAGTGCTCTATTAAATGAAAATTCAGATGCCAGAGTCGTGCTTGACTACCTGAGTGGAGGAAAATCACAAAGAAGCCTTGAATAAGGCAGAAGTTTCACACCGCCAAAATGAAGAAATAACAAAAATACATGTTCTCATTCAAGCCGGCTACAATCAGACTAGACTGAATTCGCCTGAAGTACAAATTTGCAGGTCAGAAAAGGGGTACAAGTCAGTACAGTCCACAGCAGGAAGCCTGGAAGATTCTCTACCGTCACCACCGTCATGCTGATACACTCAGTGTTATCACCATTTTTTGCTGAGGGGTCACTCCCCTGCTGAGAACAGCATCCCAGCCAAGGTCTTTATTAACCTGCATTATGCAGCTGTGTTCGGCTGGTGCCTTACAGAGCTGTCTGCCCCCTGAGACCTCCTAAAACCTCAGGCAGGCTGTATTCAACTCATGAACTTCAAGACCAGTATAATATGTTACAGAGGCATCCCCCACAAATTGGAGCAAAAATGAAAGTCTTTGGAAACGATAACAGAAACTTTGCCATTCAGAATTTTTTTTTTTATTCATCATCCATCCAACTGGCATACATAATTTCCATTTAACCTAATGATGAATGGGTCTTACTACTCAGTCATTTCTCCTTTTCCTTGACTCTTCTGTGTCTGCAGAGCGAGCGATCCCCTTTGAGCACATGATGTATGAACATCTGCAGAAGTGGGGGCCTCGGAAGCAGGAGGTCAAGTTCTTCCTCCGCCATGAAGATTCACCAACTGAGAGCAGTGATCAAGGTTTGTACCATCTCAGCCCCCCTCTGCTAGCTGTTTAGGCATGTGGAAGGTGGAGTCAGGGATGGTGAGGGAATTCCTGACACCTGTCTGGCTGGCTGTTCAGCTGTGGATGCTGGTGTCAGTTTCTTTCCCTCCTTTTCTTATCCTGAAGTCTCTACTCTTTTGAGTTTTGGTATGTTTGCTTTTAACAGTACACTACTTGTGTAATCCTTTGGCCTTTAGTGTTTAAAAAGACTGTGTAGGCCGAAAAACCAAAATGAGCTGATGCTCTGGTGCATGTCGGAGGAATGAATCACATTAAGTTTGTGCATTTGTGTTTGGATGGAGTATAGCCACGTAAAAAGCCAGGTGTAAAAGGCACCCAAGTTTAAAATCTGACTTTTACAAAATGCTTTCGTCAAGATCAGAGACTCACTAGGACACAGTAATCCCAGTGTTGAAAGTTAGTATATTTATAGATGTGTAGAAGAAATTAACTGGTGGCAGAGATTGTGATGTGATCCTGATCTGATTCATATTTGATATAAATTTTGAACTTGCAGTGGAAGAAAGTTTACATGTATTTTGCAGTGAAATCTGCTGGTGTTTTGAAATATAGCAGAAGCGGGCAGCTGTCTCTTTTTCGGTGATGTTTGAAATCATTTATGTTTCCAGCAAATCTTCAAATTAGGTGTCTGTGGTCAGCAGTACTTGTTCCAGTTCTTAAATCCCCCTGTCATGGGCAGTCACATCAGAGAATTTTCTATCTTCACGTGTGTGTGTGTGTGTGTGTGTGTGTGCTTGTGTGTGTGTGTTTGTGGAATGCATGCTCATCTGTGTGCACTTGTGTGTGTTGCCCTGGGTTTCTGACGAGGAGAGTTTCTTTTTTGCAGGGAGTCAGCAGTCTCAGGATCAGACGAGTCGCAAGAGTGGAAGCACTGGGGAGAAGCACAATGAGAATGGGGTGAGACTTCATTAGCATGAAATGATGTTAAAATAAACATTGGTACATGACATAAATGTACTGTAATGGTGTGTGCATGATCGTGCACTTTATACTGCAGGGGGAAGATGTAGTTTGTGGTGTTGGACTGTACACCTACTGCGTGCCATTAAGCACCTGTACGTTGTGTGGGACTGTAGTGTTGACAAAGTTGTACAAATTAGATTAACCAAATTAGAGCACAAGTAACACAGAATATAGTATAAACTGGTTTCTTGACAAAAAAAATTTACAGATTTCTAATGACAAAACAAGAAGCCATTGAAAGACTGCAAGCTCAGGTGACGCTAAAATTCAGATAATTGTCAAGTTCTCTGCTTACTGTGTGGCAGCAGGTTTGGGTTAAAGACACTGGTTTGAGGGAAACATACCGATTCTGATATTAAGCCAGTGTTTGGGGGTCTTTTGGAGGGCAGAATCTAGCACAGCAGGAGTTCAAGGGTTTCAGATTTTGTTTTTTAAAAAAGATTCTGGTAGTGTAGCATAAAAGCAGCCAGAAGCCCTTCCTATGTATTGTCTTCAAAAGAGGGACTATCATGAGATGTATTCAGAGGTGGCCTTGTGTGTGTAGGTGGGGAATCAGCGCGTTGAGCTCACTCTGTCTGAGCTGCAGGAGATGGCCACACGGCAGCAGCAGCAAATTGAGGCTCAGCAGCAGATGCTCGTTGCAAAGGTAACATCCAGAGTTCACTTTTTAATCTTAATATGAATCATTCCCCTCAAAAGGAAACTGGTCTGTTATTCAAAATAGCTTTCATGCTAACAAAATGATATACCAAACTGAAATATCATCCTGTATTTCAGTTTAAGGTGTTTAATCTGAAGCGGTTTACCTCAAATTTATGTAGAAATTTTGTCAGTAAACTGACCACTTCTTAAACTGAAATATTATATTCTTACGCTGGGAGAAAGCTTAGGCATTATTTTTGCCTTTTGATTTGGTTTCTGTGTCAGATGAGCCAATCGGTCAAAAACGTTTGTGGTCAGTTGAGAGATGTCAGGCTATATACATTGAAGCCTGACCAATCACAGATGTTTTGCATGACATACCTGGGTGGTTGGAAAGGTGCAAGTCAGTCTGATCCCACAGGCAGACTGTGCCTCAATGGGCCAGACTTTGAACATTTCTATTAGAGAGGAAAAGGACTACTGTTGCACTGCTCTCATCCATTCTGTCATGACCTGAAACCAGGGCAAACAGTTGTGTAAGATATGAATGGGGTTGTCCATTCTGTCAGAATCTATACCTCACTTATTACAGAAACACATGCACAGATATTGCGGCGTTTACTCAAGCATGTCAATTGTTCAGTATATCAAACACTAAGTATGCTACATGTTTCTAACAACTCACTGTGCTACAGTGCTTATAAAGAGTAAAAGTTGTTTCCTAATGGAAGGAATAATAGTTGGGCCGCCAACCTCCAGACAACCAGTCTACCTTGTCACTCGGTGTTTTATTTTTTTATTTTTTTATTTTTTTTATAAGTACACTAATGCAGTCTGACACCGTGCTTGTAGTGCGCTGATCAGTCATGCAAGATGAAGCCCACTGTAGACCCACAGATACAATCACTATCTATTGGCTCTGCTGAAGTGTTGGAAAGTAGGCCCACTGGAAACCGTGCAATTATTTGGAAACCTTTGCCTGTCATTTCCTATTTTAGGAGCCTAACTGGAGCAGTTCTCAGTTGGGTATAGAGATGAAGTCATCTGACCCTTCCTGCCGCCTTCAGACAGTCTTGACACAGGACAGTGTTTCATTTTGTGCATATAGTAGAAAGATTTGGCCTAGTTTTAGGGTGTGTCTGCCACAGAAATATCTTGTAAGCTTTGGAGTGGTGCCTTGCTAGTTTTATAGTCATGCTTGTGACCTTGTTTTTGACGTGTGGAGATAGAAGCTTTGAACTGATAAAATAATGGTCAACAGCCTGTTTCTTTAACATTTCTTTCCAAACTTACAAAAGCAGCTATTATTTAGCCTCTTTATACTGCAGGGTGCTGTTTGACATCATTTTGTTGCTTTACCTCTTTACTGATTCTGTCTCGTTCTCTGAAGGAGCAACGTTTGCGTTACCTAAAGCAGCAGGAGCGCCGTCAGCAGCAAACAGTTTCAGAGAGCGAGAAGCTACAGAGACTGAAGGAGCGCGTGGAGAGCCAAGAGGCAAAGCTCAAGAAGATTCGGGCAATGAGAGGCCAGGTCGACTACAGCAAGGTCATCAATGGCAACCTGTGTATGTATACTTGCAATATGTACAGAATTTGACCATGCTTTATAGACACCTTTATCCTCATATATATGTCTGAATATGACAATGCACCAGTACAATATAAAATCTGAGGTGATGCTACTCTCATGACATCACAATATTTAAATATTAAGTATAAACCTACTGTATTTGAATCAGTATGAAGAGTCAGAGAAAAGCCTGAGATCACCTAAAGAACAAGTGTGTATCACACACTGTTAGTGTGTAAACATCGCAGCACAAACTTTGTATTCATATTCAAACCTCTTAGGGCTTTTTTCTGGGTTCCAGAAAATCTTTGTTCTGAGAATATTTGTTGCACCAAAATAGTTTTTCATATAAATGTTATGGTGCCTGCAGAATTTAAGAATCAAGGATTAGGACATTAAGATGGACAGGAGCAATTTTTCCAACATTTGGACACAGTTGTTAATAAGGCTCTGCTCCAAACAACATTAACCTGTTAAATTAGAAGCTAGTAATGGAAAGATGATGGAAAAATATGCAGATAATTTTGATACTAAGACTCTGAAGGAAAAGCACATACAGTAGCCTATGCATGCGATTTAACTTGGCAGAAATTAAGTCAAGAAGTTCCCATAGGCTACTGGGGGTAACTTCTGTTTTGGTGCTGATGCCATGGCAATATAATGTAACAACCTCCAAAACCGCAAACACACAGACTTTGAAATCTCCGTGTTCTCCCCTTTATATCCAAACACATGCTTAAACATCCCACCAACTTTGAAGCATATACTGAACTGGTAGTCCAGATGAAGCTTCAAACATCATAAGTGGCATCACATTTTCTAAACAGTACAAGCCTCGACACGAAGGTTCACTTTCCAATACCCCGAGTACTTGACGCATGCTTTGATGCCTCAGTGTTCAGCCTGCCATCACTATTAAAAGTTGCTGGATTGTGAATGAGCTGATGTGGTTAATAATTTTTTTTTATATATCCAGCAGCAGAGATTGAGCAAGTTAGTAGCCTGTTCCAAGAGAAGCAGGCAGAGTTGCAAGCAGCAGTGTTGAGGGTGGAGCAGCTCAGCCTGCAGCTGGAGGACCTGCGGAGAGGAAAGCTCAACGGCATTCAGACAGCCCTGGGTGGCCAAGTAACTGGTGCTGCAGCCTTAGAGCTCCGTAAGCTCTACCAGGAGCTTCAGGTACTGTGTAGCAGAAACAAGTGTGAAGGCTGATATAAGTACCACTATGTTTACTTTACCCCTGACTGCAGTTGTTCTAGTAAAATGGTATGCATTTGTCTTTGTCCTCATTTGGCATCCTCAGATTCGGAACAAGTTGAATCAGGAGCAAAATAGCAAGCTACAGCAGCAGAAGGAGCTTCTGAACAAGCGCAACATGGAAGTCACGCTCATGGACAAGCGCATCAGTGAGCTGCGGGAACGTCTCTACAAGAAAAAAGCTGAGGCACGTCAAAAAGAGAACCTCCCTGTAAGACTAGGAGCACATATCACATCTCCTCCTAAAACTGTCTTGGTTGAAATGCTTCTGACAAAAGTTCTTGTCGCCTTAAAAGTTCAGATACCATAGAGCATGAAAAATGTAAGCTTTTATCTTCTTGCTTTTCAAGTCTTAATGGACTGTTAGTGGACCCTCTAAACTCATAGTAGTGTTTAAATTGTCTTCTCTATATTTCTGTCCATTCTGATTGTTTTTCCTGTCAACACTATTAACTTGTAAAACACTTCTATGACTCTCTTCTCCTCCAGCTAAACAGAGCCAATGGACCTCCCTCTCCCCAGCCTGCTCCTGGGACTCTGGGCCGTGTTGCCGCTGTTGGCCCATACATCCAAGTCCCTGTACCAGGCCGACAGGAAGGAGGCTACACCATGCCACCTGATCCACTGAAGCCTCAGACCCTGGGCATCAGTAATCAAGCCAACCATGGCCGCACCAAGTCAGGTTGGTTGTGACCTGTAGAATTATACTTACTGTACAAGTGCGTAGTTTTTCCAAAATGCAAATACATTGTAAAACACAAAAAATTAAAGATGTTTTGTAGGTTCTAAGTTTGAAGTGAATTTGTCTTGAGGGCAGGAAATTGGACAGTTAGACAAGGTAGAAAAAGTAGATGAGAATATGGTTCCTAGATTGGATATGTGTAGTCCCAGAAGCAGAACCCCTATACACTTAACACAGCATGCATGAACTCCTTGTGACAGAAATTCTCTCATAAACCCCAGCTGTTACTCTCTTTCTTTCTTATCTGGCTCCTCAGTGAATTCTCTGCTTGGACTTGATTTCTGGAATTTCTTTTTCCTTCCTCTCTAAACTTACTGTCTTTCTGTGTTATAAGCTGTAATTCTCTCCTCCTCTCTCGTGTCTATGCTGTCCTGTCTATATAATGTCTCTGTTTCACTGTGGGTGTGGGGTTGGGGGCAACTCTTCCTGGGGCAGACGGTGTGCGAAAGCCTCCCGGCCCTTGGAAGGTGTCTGATTTAGACATCGTTGTGGACCAAGTGCCCTCGTCCCTTCCAGAATCCCAACCGGGCCCTGGAGCCTCCACAGGCTCTGACGGCACGTCCCGTGAGTGCACAGTGCTGTGTAAGCAGAGGGATGGTGCTTTCTGAACCTTCTCTCTCGACTGTGGCACAGTATCCTCAGCATGCACTGCAGTTGTTGTCTGTATTACAACCACATCATAGTCAGTCTTATAATCTTAAATCTAAACCAAAAAAAAACAAAAAAAAAACTAATTGCTTATTTTTGGGCTGGGTACTTAAGAATACCAAGATTGGGTTCATCCCAATCAGGCCTTGAGCCCCCCTCTCACGTTCTGCTGTTTACATATTCCACAAAACTGATCATTATCATTGGGACAATGTTGATTTTCTCCACCAGGCAAATTGAGACTTAGATGTACAGTTGCGGAGGAGATGAGCATCTGTGCCTGGTTAACTTGAGAAATCACCCATTGATGAGAAGCGCCCTTGTTGGGCATCATCACACTCTCCTGCCAGTGCAGCACAGTTTCACTGATCTGGAGAGAATTCATGTTAACATTTCATTTGGAGTGTTTCCTCTGTGGATTGGCTAATGACGTCAGCCTAGTGGGATCCAGTCTTCAAACACTTTGCTGTCATCTGCACGAGTTTTACACTCTTTATCATAGTTGGCATCAGGCCTCAAATGACATAAGTGTCACTGACAAAGCACTGCTGATACTGTGTGTCTTTGTACACTTCTGAGAAGATTCACTGAGTTGAGTATTTCATAAACGAACACATGCAAAGCAGCCAAAGGTATTTGGGCTTTGCTTTAATTTCATAACATTGTCTGCCTAACACTTAATCTTCATGCTGCATCCTCACAACGACCAAGCTGTGGGTGTCACCCGTAGCTGTCAGACACTTTACATGCATGGTATGGTACCACAAATGGTACCACACCTATTGCTGTGTTTTTCCATCCTTGTTCTTTTCACCCTCCATCCTTGTTCTGTTCACCTTGTCCTCGCTTTCTTTTTATCTTGCACATATAGATTTCTACAGTAATCTGATTATTCTATCGTGCATCTCTGAATCTTCTACTAAATGGTAATTTAGTTAATACTTAGCAAATGTAACAAAATTAAAATGCTACATTTCTAAATAAATGTACACAAGAGCAGAAATACTAATGGAGATTCATTCATTTACATCATTGTTGTGAAAGCTCAGGATTTATGTCCTATTGATCAACAACTCCTTTTAAAATGTTTAGTTTATAGTGTCTTTGATAAATGACTAGTTTGAGAAAAAAGTAGAACAATTTGCACATCCTTTGTGCAAGAAATGAAAGTGAATGAAGTGCCCGGTGTCTCTGACCACATGGAATTTTTGAGTAAGACAAACAGTTGACCATAAATAGAAACTGCCTCTTTGATAAGTCAAATAACATTTATATTCCCAAGGTCAGTGTGTAGGCTATTTATTATCTCTGTTTTAAGTAAATGGTACAAGAAGACCTTTGTCTGAAAAACATACCCTTACTTACATCCATGACTGTGGCAGTATTGTAGTATAAATAATGCAGCTTTTTTGCAGGAATCAAATTTTTAGAGAAGTGATTTGAATCTTCTCTGCTTTAAAAGCACACGTGTTTCTGAATATCAAAGATGCTGAATTCACATAAACAAAAAGGCAACAAAGACTATGTTTGAATCTCTGATTCTGGTTAATAGGATAGTCTTCTTAAAATTCTGAACCCTCCATTAAATACCAATCCTAGGTCAAAATGGTCTGGATTGATGTGTTTTATGCATATAAAATGTTATACATTTAGATGTTTCTGAAACACCATTACTAATAATCCATTTATTGTGGCTAATTAGACACAAAACAAAAACAATTATTAAAACAAAATGCAGTACCATTTAGACCTAGCTTTGATGGACATGCTTTGTCACTACCCTGAGTTGTAAAGGAAGCTTTTGCTTGTTATACCACCTCAATCAGTCACTGGATATAGTCTCTTTTTCATCTTTTGCAACACACTTACCAGTCCCTGTTTGTGCCCTAGCTAATGATACTGGTTGGCCTACTATAGGCAAGAGCAGCACAACCCTAAAGCCTCCTGAGAGAAGAGACTCAGGGACTGACACCCAGGGCAAGAGCCCTCCCTCAGGCTCCCCTGTCACGCCAAGTGCAGACAAGGTCAGTCCTCTTTCTTCATATCCCCTTCGATGTATGCAAAGATGTCTTGTTTTTGTGCAGAAGCTGTTAACCCCCTAACATAGAGATATATACATAAGAAAAAATGTTACATTTGATATTAAAAATAGCCTTGAGGCGAGAATTCAAGATTTCTTTGTACAAAGTACAAGTTTCAGTGGTGGATGTTTGTGTGATTTCATGTTTCTGCACCCCCCCCAGCCATATCAAAGCCACAGCCGCCTCCCTATGGCTCCCATCTCATCTCCGCAAACTCAGCCAGCTCTTTAGACCGCCGCAAGGATGCACCTCCCCCTTCTCGCCCACTTCCGAACCCACCAGCTCCTGCTTGGCCCCGCGTCCCCTCCTCCACAGGCTCCTCCTCCCAGCAGATCCAGCAGCGAATCTCTGTGCCACCAAGTCCCACCTTCCAGCCTAATGCACTGTTTTTCCCGCAAGGGCTGAGCGAACGACTGGAACCCCCGCCAGCTGTGGCGGTACGCCCCTTCATCCCAGACAGAGGATCACGGCCTCAGTCGCCCCGTAAAGGCCCACCTACAGTGAACTCCAGCTCCATCTATCACATGTACCTCCAGCAGGCAGCGCCCAAAAGCCAGCCACTCAAGCCTGCTCTTAAAGCATGTAAGAGATGTTTGAAGAGATGGTCCAGTATGTGAAGCCTTACTGTAAAATTGAAACTTAAAAATGTATTTTCATAATTGGAAAGAATGTCTGGAATCATGCTTTTGTAATGTGCTCTTTCAGTACTGCTGCTACTTTATAAGATCCAGTTTTGTCTTTTTAGATTACAGTAAATAAAATGGTTATTTATCCAATGAGCATTTTATAAAATTGCACTACAGTTTTTCAGCATGTATTATACATCTTAAATTATGGGCCAGAAGAATTAATGAATTACATTTTTAGACATTTAGACTTTTTCTTTCTTATATGGAGATAGTTATTGAACAACAAAATGGACTTTTTTGTTTTTCTTTTTGGACATTTTAGATTCCGACTAATGACTTGATTGTTAAATAAAAAAGAAATGGTAACAGATGAATTAATAATGAGGATAATAACTGGCTGCAGCTATGTTGTCAGTGCCATCAAAAATAATTCCATTCTATTCTTATCTCTAGTATACGGGAAGCCTGTCCTCCCCTCCAGCTCAACACCCCCCTCGCCCCTGCCTGGAGGAGCCTTCCCATTGCTCCAAGGCCAACCCAGTGGTGAGGACACTTTGGATGGAGAATTTGACGATCGCGAGGACTTCCAGCACCTGGAGCCGTTGGCACCCCCTCCCAGCATGGAGAACATCCCACGACCACTCAGCCCTACTAAGCTAACACCCATGGTACACTCCCCGCTGCGCTATCAAAGTGACGCTGACCTTGAGATACTTCGTAAAAAGCTGGCCAACGCTCCAAGACCCCTCAAGAAGCGTAGCTCCATAACTGAACCAGAGGGCCCCAGTGGACCCAACATCCAGAAACTTCTCTACCAGAGATTCAACACTTTAGCAGGAGGCATAGAAGGAAATGGGGTCAGTGGGTCAGTAGGTGGTAACAGTGCAGGTAATGGAACACCATTTTATCAGCCAGCTCCTCCTGGATACTTAGGGGGTGACTCTGTGGCAGATACAGATAATGGTAACTTCCCATCTGAGACGCCACTACCACCACCGCCTGGGGCAGAGAAGCCAGGCTCTGAGGCTCCCCCTCCATCTACTGATGCAAATGACAACGAGCCACTGCCTTTGCCACCAGAGGGGCTAGAGGAACCCGGTGAAGCAGAAGGACTGGAGGATGACAACAACAACAACACTGGAGGCTCTGAGGCGTTGTTGCCCAGCCCTGTGCCGGAGGTCACAACTCTAGAAGAGAGCGGCACAGTAGTCTCACAGGCGCTGGTGAGAGACACGTATCCACAGTCTTCTTATTGCATTTTAAAAGTTCCATTTTCAGTCAATAAAGCTTCCTCTCTTTGTGCTTGTGCTTCCTCTCTTTATCATTGCAGGAGAAGCGCACAAACCTGAAGAAGCCAAACTCTGAGCGTACTGGTCATGGCTTTAGAGTGAAGTTCAACCCCCTGGCACTGCTGCTGGATGCCTCATTAGAGGGAGAGTTTGACCTTGTCCAGAGAATCATCTATGAGGTTTGTCATGACTGTTTCCATATACTTTATGCAGTGTTTCCCATACATTGATTTATTTGTGGCGAGCTGCCACATACTTATTTAAAATAGGTTAAATCTTATTTCAGTGTAGCATAGTGCATGTATTCGCCCTGTCCCTCTGTGCTCCGCTCTGTTTCTCTGTCACAAACACATGATGATGGACCATCTGTGAACAACTCCTTCTCCCTGTGTTAGTTTTTTTTCCCCACACAACGCTGTGAATCGCAGAGATCCAGCTCTTCTACTAAGTTATTAGCAAGCAAGTAAGCCTGGCTAAGATAGCATTAGAATTGCACACTGTATATACCATGGATGTATATGGACAGCTCTGCAAGTGGATAAAGTTAATGCTAGTTCATAAACTCTGGCACTGAGTGCCTTATGAATGTTTATGTCTATTTCAGTGTAAGATAAGTGATCATTTTTTCATCTGGTTCCTTGTTTTTTCCAGGTAGAGAATCCTAGCACTCCCAACGATGAGGGAATCACACCACTGCACAATGCAGTGTGCGCAGGACATCACCACATAGTCAAGTTCCTGCTAGATTTCGGTGTTAATGTCAATGCTGCAGACAGTGATGGATGGTGAGTCCAAGCTCTCTGGCCCAGGAGTGTTGAGGAAATTTTGTCCAGCTTGATTTGATATGGTCTGCTCTTGTATCCATTTAGATTTACAGTATATACTGTGTTTGTTTTCCTATTTGTGTTTGGTTGAACAGGACTCCACTTCACTGTGCCGCCTCCTGTAACAGTGTTCATCTCTGCAAGTTGTTGGTTGAGTCAGGAGCGGCCATCTTTGCGAGCACCATAAGTGATGTGGAGACTGCTGCAGATAAGTGCGAAGAAATGGAAGAGGGCTACATCCAGTGCTCCCAGTTTCTATATGGTGAGAAACAACCCACCATTCTTTCCAGGGTGAACCAATGTAAATCTAAAAGGACTAGGTCACTTTAGAAACGTAATAAATTTATCCTGGTACTATAATGTGGGAAAAGGTCTTGTGTGGCATTTGTTTTGAACAATTTAAGATTACTTTATCTATAAAGATAGTGTGTCCAGTACACTTGGAGTTACTGTCTGTTTCGGGCTCTCTCATGCAGGTGTTCAGGAGAAGTTGGGCGTCATGAACAAGGGGACGGTGTACACTCTGTGGGATTATGAAGCTCAAAACCCAGATGAGCTGTCATTCAGCGAGGGGGACGCCATCACCATTCTGCGACGACAGGATGACAGTGAAACAGAGTGGTGGTGGGCACGACTTGAAGACAGAGAGGGCTATGTGCCCCGCAACCTGCTGGGGGTAACAACAACATACACCATTTGTCACGTTTGTCCAGTTTCTATCAAGATTTCTTTTCTCATGTTCCAATTTGTTTAATTTGATTGACAGTAGAACATAAATAAGTGGATTAATCAATCTGTTGAGACAAAACTAATTGCCAAGTTTTTCTGAATTGTTTAGGTTTGTCACATATCAGCTTGTACAACCTTTTTAGAGTTTGTTTGTTTACTTTGCAGCTCTATCCTAGGATCAAGCCTCGTCAGCGCTCCCTGGCATAGTGTCTCACTCCACTAATCTCTGGCCAACAGCTGGGCTAATGACAAAACCAAGAGCAGCGAACAAAGGAGCCTGGTGCTCAGCCTTGCGCTTCTCACAAAATCCTTTTCTCTCAAGCAGCTGGCACTGAACTCTGCCACAGATATTTACATCTGCACACACAATGAAACACAAGCACTCAGAACAAGAAAATCTCTTAAACCACTCCATCCTAACCCCTTTCACCTTTCAACATATTGCTCTGTCATTGTCCCAACCTGATTTTATCCCAACTCAGTGTAAGCCCTGTTTCCGACATCCACTTGAAGAATAAAACACTAACCGTTCTCTCAGTATTTCTTACAGTGTTCATACTAAACAAATCTCCCTAATAAAGTCTATGGTGGCACTGATTTACATGATACTATATGATGTGTGGAAAATCATCTTTAAGGGTGAGAAACTGCTCACTTTTGTGAGCTGTAGTGGTTGTTGTGGACAGTTTGAGCCCCTTGCACAAGAAAAACTACCGTAGAAAAATTTGCTCTGTATTTACTGGAGTCCAACCACCAAAAATAAGTACAGGTTTAATTCAATAATGTCCTAAGACTTTCCAGAATTGTTGAGGAGTGAGATAATCAATTGATATGCTGTTGTCAGTAATGATTAACAGCTCTTAGTTGATTTAAAGTCCTTTTATATATTCCCATGGAGCAGAAAACTGATTTTTTTTTAGGGAAAATAGAAAATGTTGTAAATACCCTGTATTAACTGCACAGATCAGTCAAAACAATCCCATTATATTAAAGCAAAGATGAATATTTTATAAATTATATGAGCCTTCAGACAATAACCAATTTTCTTTGTAATATAAGATTTAAAGCTCTATCAAGTTTAGTGAAAACACAGTTTGAATGAGCAGGCCAAATATTTACATGGAGTTTCTCTGTGGTAATCTGATTATTACTGAAATGACCAGGGGATGTTGTTCATACGTGGATTAACAGGTTAGCCAAATAGTTTTCTTGGCAATTTCACAATATCCCGCATCTGTTGGTTCTTCGAAAGTCTCGCGGGATTTGTCACGGCAACATATCCGCAGCCTATTCGGGAGCAGGTTACTTCTCAGGTTAAATGTAGAGAAGTTAACTTCACATAGTTCAAGGGTTTCGGAGCAGGAAGCGGCTCAGTGACATAGGAGCGATTATAAGAAGACATGGGTTTGAAGTAAACAATATTAAGGCATCGGCCCTTTGGCCCATCCCAAACCGTTCTTAATCAAACGATACTGTTTCAGTCGGGAGGAAACAGTTTATTGAGGTGGCTTCTTAGCACCTCATATTATGGACAGACAAAGTGGAGCTGCGCTCTTTCCAACACATAGTCAACAGTAATCAAGTAAAAGTGTATTTATATAGCAACTTTCTAAACCCAAGTTACAAAGTGCTTCACAATGAAAGAAAAACAAATGAAAAAAAAAATCATAAATGGCAGATGCAACATTTATCAAGCATGTGATTTAGCTTTTTTTAAAAGTCATTGTTACTATTGATAAGAATATGAATAATAAAAATAGAAAAGCGGATGTAAAGTAACCGGTGGTGTGCGTATTTCAGCGCCACAGAGGCGAAGAGAGACCATCCTGTGTGAATATGTACACCTTTGTATTCCTGAGTGTTATGGTTCATACATTAATTACCCATTTTCTGCTTTACAGTTGTGAGAAGAAACACCAAATTAAATGAAAAGTTGCGATCCACACGCAGACTGCGTGGTAAACTGGATCAGGAGAGATTGTTTTGCTGATCTCTGCGTTAAATTGCAGTTTCCTGGTGCCCAACGCTTCCACGGTGGAGACAAGAGTTGCATGCATGCCAGTAGCTTTATTAAAATTAATGTTCCGAACCACTCTTGTGCGTGAATCATCAATAATAACCAATAACCACCGATTTTTACGCATGCTCTTTGACGATAAAGATACAGAATATCAGAATAGACTGAGACCCTCTTTTTTTTACATTTTGCAGAGTTCTGCTTTTGTTTTATGCACATTTTACATTTTGCAGAGTTCTGCTTTTGCAGTTACGTGCAAATTCGTTGTCCTCCAGCAGAAGCATTCATTCACCTGTGTGCAGCCGATCAGAAACCAGCTGATCATGGTTTCAGCTCTCCATAGTCTAGTCACCGACCACGAGAGCGCGCGCTTATCTAGGATGATTGAATCCAGCTTTTCTAATCCACAACACTGGTGGGAGTTGAAGAACCGAAATATCCGGATAACCTTAACTGGCATTAGAAAATCCAGGATTGCTAATTTGATCTAATATCGGTTTAGCCATGTACGAAGAATACCTCCAGCTCATATGCTGCAGGAATGTGGAAATAGGTAATAAAAAAACAACAACAACAAACAAACGGTATTTTGTATTACCAAAAAAGGTTGACAAATGCATTAAGAAACTATGTCTGTGCCAAGGATACAAACCCAGAATATCTCTAACAGTGGGTATTTCAGGGATTATTGTTTGGGAGGTAATCTGTTAGAGTTTGGTCACAGAGTTAGTTATAATTTTAAATTTTGCAGTGCAGAGGAAGGCAATAATCAGTTCCACAAAGTGTTGATTGGTATTGTCAGGTCAGTTTTGCTACTTTTTAAATACTGATCATGTCATATACACATAAGCATCATGTTTTTAATTAGTCCATTTATATTAAGTCAAATCTCACTTTCACAATCCCTTGTTTTGTGTAGTGCTTTTTTTCTAGTAGATTTCTGCCTTTCTTGTCATTAAACCTGGTACCAACACTTTAAAGCAGTATCATGAAATTGATACTTCAGGTATTTAATGGAATCCAGACATTGCACCTCAACAACACTGAAATCATCAGCTAGACCACCTTAAAAACTTTGTTTACCTTTCTAGACAAAGTTAACACTTATTTTTATCTAGTAGAAGCCAAATCCCATCTAACACTGCAGTTATTCAGAGGCTGTGACAAACGTCACTTGAAATATTTAATCTCAGGACCAACATGGTGCTGTTGACACTGTTTAGCCACTAAACTAGTGATTATATTTTTGTTTTTATTCTCAGCAAACATCTTTTTCAGTTGAGCACCAAGCCAAACAAAAACACTGTCCAGAATTTCAACAGTATCTGTTATGGATATTGATACTGAAGAGACAACTGTTGTGCCTGAAATGGAGCAATCTTCACTTTCAGACAAATTTGCTTCAGACAATCCTGAATTTTCCCCATTCTCTTCCTCAAGCTGCCCACTTCCAGTAGCACTAAAACATGTTATCTGTCATGTTACTGAACATGTAGAGTCCATCAACTTGTTCTGAATCTTGAGTGACTGAGTGTTATGCCAAGTGTGCTAGTGGCCTAGGCTTTACCATGGCTTACATCTGTGTGAGGGAATGTGCTATGTCTGTTTGCTGTATAAATGATGTACTCACACATTCAAATCTGTAAATGTAAACAATAAAACAAAGTCTGGCATGATGAATGCATTTTTACTATCTTTTTTTTATCAAAGTATTTGCAAGTAATGCAATGTTAAATTCTATAATTTGTTTAAATGGGCCTGTTCTAACAACCGCAAAGTAGCAGTTTGGAGTTTTTCTTTTTGTGATAGCATAATCATAAGGCAGGACGGTGTCTGAATAAATTCATGATTTACTGAGAAGTTGAGCTCTGAATATTATGGCCTATACAGGGACTTATAAATAATTTTATTACACGCAAGCTGTGGGGACTTAGTATATCTACCTTTACTTACAAACTACTATAGCCTATTTCAGATGATTTGAATAACAAAACCTTTTGGGAATTGTACAAGAAAAGAAATACAGAGAGACAAGCCATGCAGTGATTTATAGATGGAAAGCAGTTAAAGTAAGTTTTGCTATGGTCACATGCACTTTAAATTGGACATTGTTTTTTTTTTTTGTTTAGGTTTCTTAAAAGAGCATTATTAACACCTTGTACTACAACGTCCATAAAGCACACAGTATGGCGCATGCGCATTAACTCCGAATGAACCGATGACATCACAAGCAGCCCGTGCCAACCAGAAGGCTCGTCTGCCTGCCTTCTGGGCTGTCGTTTTGTTGATTCACTTTTCTCTTTACCTGATGAACGTGTGGACACGGTTAACGAGATTAATGCTCGATGTGACAAGGTAAGAACGCTGTAGTTACTTTTACTGAAACTCGTACTACAACGGCTGAAACATTAACTCCGTGAATAGCCGCACCGGGCCGTCTGGTTGCGGTGTTGACCTTACCGGTGTGTGTGGCCAGTCAACACAACAGCCAACGTTAACGTTCGCTGTGGCGTGTTGAGTCAAACTATTTTTGCTTATTTTGTTCAATTTTGCGAGCTTCTTCATAGAGCTTCAGCTTTAGTGGCCGAAACCTCGTTCAGCCAGGGGTCAAAACACGGGAGTCAGATGATATTTGCATCTGTTTTGCAAGTTGTTTCTGTTCTGTCAGCTCCGTCTGCCTGTGGCGGTGGCAGGCTGACTGTCCGCCGGCTAAAAACCTGACGAGGCAAAAGAGAAATGGGGTTCAGGAATCTCCAGGGTCCCCTGAATCCCACTGTCTCTCCATCAAAGTGAGAAGTAGTCATCACTTTGAGTAGCCTAGACGTGTTGTTAAAGAATGGACACGAGGTTAATGTTATCTGACAGAGTGAAGCCGCTAAAGTCTGAAAAGTGATTTACTTTGTCGTATTTAATGAATTTGACTGGATTGTTTGACCTCTTATCTGTAGTCTAGTCTGACCAACACTGGATTTAAGAAGATACTTATGTCAATATTTGAGAGTTGGCAAAAAAAACCCCAGTATTTCTTTTTTTACATTAACACATGACAAAAACAAATATATTTTAAGTGCGTCTCTTATGTTTTATTAACTGGTGTATACTTGTAATTGGTCAGGAGTTCAAACCCATTCAAATCCAATCTTTAATTTGTGAGTCAGGCTGTAATCTGTAGGCACATAAGTCCACAAATGCTTGGTCACCTTTAAAACACCTTTACAGATTTTGTGTGGATTACATTTAATTTGAGCTTTAAAGTGTGCTAAGATAACAAATTTGCTCTATAGTGAAAGTGATATTCATGGTTTCTCATCAACTTTATTTACCAAGTATGCAGTAAACAAGGAATTTTCTTAGTGTTGCATTCACATAAAAACAAAGAACAAATGAAATACAAACAACAACCATACACTAAAGCATCATAAGAACAAACACTTCTCCAAGATAACATCAATTCAAATAAGATAACTATTGTCATACCATTCCCATCTATTCAGTAATTGAGATGATGCACAGTTGGCTGATCCTCATGCAGACCCCGCACTGCCACATTACCATATTACTCTTAATACAATGACCGGTCAGAGGAGTTTTCAGACATATCTTATGATACTTTGCCTGTTATGATGTATATAATAACACTTTGCTGAAAAGTGGGATGACTCACTTGTGAAAGCCATGAAGTTATACAGGTCAGTCAGAGAGCACAAGACACAGATTATCACAGTGTAATCATTCAAGTGGTGGGTTTATAAATAGTTACAGTGGGTATGGAAAGTATTCAGACCCCCTTAAATTTTTCACTCTTTGTTATATTGCAGCCATATGCTAAAATCATTTAAGTTCATTTTTTTCCTCATTAATGTACACACAGCACCCCATATTGACAGAAAAACACAGAAT